CACCCAGACGCCCACACGAAGCTCCAAGACTCCTCAACGGCTCCCCAGACGTGCCACGAGGCGCCCAAGAGCCGCCAAGAAGCATTCACGAAGTTCCCCCACGACGCCCCACAAGGCCTCTAAGAACCTCCACGAGTTCTCCGAAGAAGGCCTTTATAATCCTGGGGGGTGGGACCCCCCCCCGAAATAGGATCCTCCCCAACCGGGACTTCCGGAAACGGGACCCCTCACGAGGATCGCAGCCTCCGAGCGCGAAAATTAGCGCTCTCCGTCCAAAGAGGAAGGTGAGAACGAAGCCCATACATAACGTTCATAGAGCCTACCTGTCCCAAAGTCGCGTCAGCACGCCTCCCCGCGCCCCCCCTGCCTCATATTTTGCAGTATAAAGCTGCATTCTGGTCAGAATCCTGGGTTCGCACCCTTTTTTAAAGAAATTTGGTTGCGAACCTGGGATTCGATAAGTTTCCCTCTGAAGTCCTTTTCTGGCATTCCATTTGCCCCTTTCGTTGCTTCGAACACCAAGTTCTCCCACTCCCCCTCCGCAACCTCTGCACATTCGCAATGCGAGCCCGCGAGGACCTCTCGAAGGGACCGCAGGATACCGCGAGAAGCCAGCCGATCCAAAGTTTCAAGGAACAAGATGCATGGCGCGAAGCGCCTATGCAGCCTTGTATATATATATATATATATATATATAAATATCCCCATCAAGGGGAACACGTCGGCCATTGGGGGGTCAAGGCCACGCCCGTGGGGATAGGGATAGGGGAACCGATGCTCAGCGTTCTCATGCCCCTCAGGGTCGGCGCATGTGCATGCTGCATGTCTGAAACAGCAGGGTCGTATGGCGAGGCGCAGGCGGTGGCTTGACCCACGGCGTGCTGGCGCTCCTGCGCGTTGAGGCTATTCCTCTTTATCCTCCCCTCGTGCCGCCTCGTGTGTGTGTGTGTGTTTCTTTTATGTGCCCCTGTCTGAGCGCGGCGAGGTTGGCAAAGGCGGAAGCTTCGGAGAGCTGGCTCCCGCCCGCGATATGCACCGAGAGGGAGGGGTGGAAGAGGCCGCGGAGCAGGAGGAGGAGGAGGAGGAGGAGGAGGAGGAGGAGGAGGAGGAGGAGGAGGAGGAGGAGGCAGAGGAGGAGGGAGGAGGAGGAGGAGGAGGAGGAGGAGGAGGAAGAGGAGGAGGAGGAGGAAGAGGAGGGGGGAGGGGGGAGGGGGGGAGAGGAGGAGGGTGCGGATGAGGAGGGAGGGTGCGGATGAGGAGGAGGAAGAGGAGGAGGAAGAGGAGGGGGAAGAGGAGGAGGAAGAGGAAGAGGAGGAGGAGGAACGCGAACCTTCAGGGTGGCGATTTGCACGGGGAAGGGAGGCAGAAGGTGGTGGAGGAGGAGAAAAAGGGGCATGTGGGTGATGGTAAGAAGTGGTTGGCGGAGGAGAGGCAAGGGGGGAGGATGCCCAGTGATACAGTATCGAACAACTACCAATACAGTCTCGCACTCGAAGCCAGATTTAGATAACTCGAAATCCTCGGGGCCCTCAAATCTGAAGTACGGGACAAGTGAAACTGTCAATAAAGAGGCTGTCAATAGATACTGATGTATTGCAATGGTTGTAATCTGCGCAGTAGGGATGTCTGGACTCCGACAGGATCCGTATACTTTTCACTGTGGCTCAGGGCTTCCTGTTCGGGACAAACCGGCAGCGGTTCAATCCACGACAGCACATGCAACTAACAATGCGAGATGGATCGGCAATTGTCAAATACTCGTCACTGGTCACTAGCAATCACACATGACTGTAACTGTGGCATTTCGTTTCCGAGCAATCCGCGTGGTTCTGTCCACGCTCAAATCCGTTAGCACAGGCAACGCGCATTCCAACGCGTAACCCTCGGCGTCCAGGACTCGTGGAAGCACAGAGCGACATATGTTTCTAGGTGTTGGTATCTCGTCGCATAGATATCACAGCAACCAGTTTGTATGTAACGAGATCGGACTCGCAACCAGGACGACCCAGCTTTCCAACACTTCAGTTCAAGATCCCTCCAGCGGCCTGCGGCAGGTCCCGCCACCGCGCAAGCCCGGCATTCTGGGTGGTAAATGCTGGTTGGGGCACGGGACGCCGCCACCATGCGACACCTAGCCTTGATGAGGCTGCTGAGGGATAATAATAGTATGCTGATGATGGTGATGATGATGATGATGATGATGATGATGATGATGATGATGCTGATGTTGCTGATTATGATGGTGGTGATGATGATGACTGTAATTTCGATGAGGGTGATGATTGTGATGCTGATGCTGACGATGATGATGATGATGATGATGGTGATGATGATGATGATGCTGATGGACGTGGTGGTGGTGATGGTGAACATGAGGAGGAGGAGGACAATGCCGATGCCGATGACGATGATAATGAGGATGATGATGGTAATGGTGATGATGATGACGATGCTGATGATGCTGTTAATGATGATGATGATGCTGATGATGATGATGATGCTGACGATTGTGACGATCATGATAATGATCCTAATGGACGATCATGATGCTGATCATATTGATAATAATGGTGGTAATGATGAGGACGATGATGCTGCTGCTGATGATGATGGTGATGCTGATGGTGACGATGATGACGACGATGATGTTGGTACTCATTTTGGCTATGATGGTGATGCTGCTTATGCTGATTATGATGATGGTGATGATGGTGATGATGATGGTGATGATAATGGTGATAATGACGATGATACCAATAATAATGACGATGAGGAGGAGGAGGAGGAGGAGAGGAGAAGGAACATGCTGATGCTGATTATCATGATGATGGTGATGATGATGCTGATGCTGATGCTGCTGCTGATTATGATGCTGCTGCTGCTTATGATGATGATTATGATACTGATGGTGTTGATGATGATGCTGATGATGCTGCTGCTGCTGATGATGATGAGGATGTTGGTGGAGGTGGTGGTGGTGGGGGTCATGCTGCTGCTGCTGATGCTGATGCTGCTGATGATGATATTGTTGATGATGCTGCTGCTGCTGATCATGATGATGATGATGATGATGATGATGATGATGATGATGAGGATGATGATGATGGTGATGATGATGATGATGATGATGATGATGATGGTGGTGGTGGTGGTGGTAATGATAAGGATGATGCGGATGATGATGCGGATGATGATGGTGATGATGATGAGGATGATGATGCTGATGATGCTGATGATGCTGAAGCTGATGCTGATGCTGATGCTGATGCTGACGTCGTATCCATTTTTGCTCAAGCGTCGGTCCAAGGGGTGGTCGGTCCGAGGGCAGGCGCGGTCCGAGAGGGTGGGTCAATTGAGGTGTTTCCAGGTCCTGTTCTCAAGAGCCGATTCTCCGGCCCTTCGGGGCGCGCTGGATGGCCCTCGCGCGCTGTGGCGCACGAGGGCATGCGCTGGTCGCACTCGCTGGGTCAGGTGCTGCTGGCGGGGGGATCCCCTGGGCTATCTCGTGGGCCCTCCAGGCTGCCCTAGATCCACGCGTGCGTGAGGCAGCAGCCGCGACAGGCGCAGCCTAGACAGCTGCAGCAGCCGCGGCGGCAGAGGCGGCGGCAGCCCGTGCGGAAGAGATCGCCCAGAACGATAGTGCGGAGCATCTCATTTGTTTTGCAAGGTGGGAGCTCTTCCCTGTCTTCGGCCTCTCCAGGAGGAGGAGGAGGAGGAGGAGGAGGAGGAGGAGGAGGAGGAGGAGGAGGAGGAGGAGGAGGAGGCACTTTCGCGCTCATGCTCACCAGCACGTGTTGCTGCTGCTGCTGCTGTGCCCCGCGGCTTCTTCGGCGGCAGAGCCTGGGCGCGCCGGCGCCCGCCGTTCCGCAGGCCTCGCCGACGGCTGCCCAGCTGGCGGAGCTCGCCAGCTGCGCCGCCTTAGGGTGGTTAGGCGTCGCTGGATGCAGCCGCCAGGCGGCTTGATTACTCCAGATTTCGTAATAAAAGGGAGGGGATCTCAACCCTCTCAGACGAGAAATTCTAGACCCCCCCAGACGATCAACGAAAGAGCGGCCCTTTGCCCAGACCCCCCCCGAACCCTCAAGACAGCTCAAATTAGACCCCCCCCGAATGTGACCCCCCCCACTTGTTTATGGAATCCGGAGTAGGCGGCGCTGGATGCAGCCACCAGGCGGTTTGATTACACGCCTGCTGTCATTCGCGCTCAGCTGGTCCACTGGGCGGGCGGCCCACCGAGGGCCACGCCGCGGGTGAGTGGGTTGGCAGGGCGCGCGTCGCCTCCCTTCGGGGCTGGGGTCCGAGGCCTCACCGAGGAGGGTCTCCGCCAGCATCCTGGCCTTCGGCGGTCTTTGGTTGGTGTCGGTGCACTATGCTTGCCCCCCGTCGTCCTTGCCACAAGCCAGAGATTTTGGTGCAGAGCAGTTTGGTATTTTCCTTTTTTTGACAGGGATGCCGGGGGGTGGTCTTGGCACGGTTCCGGGTTTGTCGACGGTCGGGTTTGGGAGGGGGTGCGTTTTACACAATGATGAAGCCCTGCCCGCAGGGGAAAAACGGGGGGTGGAAGGGAAAATCGCAAAACCATTCGCGCCCGGAGCGCCGGCGGGATTTCGCCCTGTGGGGCCCGTGATGAAGGCTTTCTAGGCCTACTTGGGCTGCCTTGCGCCATGTGGAGGCAATCTTGGTCTGTCAGCCGCCATCTTGGAGCCACCATGAACCTTCGTTAAATAGAAGCGGATGGGTTTTTTTTTTTTTACGAATGGTCGTCAATATTGGCCGGAGGACACGACGGCAGGTGTGCAGGGTTTCGCGACGTACGCGCTGTTCTTCTGGACTGGCGTTTGGCTGAAGGAAAAGGAACCCAGGGCGACCGCCATCCCGCATGGTAGCGGAGCCTGGTCGCGCCCACGGCCAGGCTCCCGCTCTCGCGTCGCGATGGCCATGGCAAAGCAGCTGCTGCAGCGGATCGTTGCAATGGAAGGGCTCGTGGTTCATCACTGTAATCAGGGTCGGGAGCTGGAGAAGCAGGCGAACTCGCGAAGCAAATGCTAGAGCAGCAGCAGCAGAAGCAGGTGCAGGAGAAGAGGGTCGATAACGAGCAGCTGAGTATCGTCCCGAACCCTTGGTAGACACGAAGCTGCCCGGGAAACCCGACAAGTTCTGTGGCGAGCGCGGCAAACATGCGAAGTACAAGGGCGGCGTAACCTGGGAGAGCTGGAGTTTCGTTCTGGCAGTTTACTGCATGGCTGTGGACCCACGCATGGCCGAGCTGATGCGGAACGCTGCGAAGGTAGACGCTGAGGCCTTTGCACATGAGGATCCAGATGGAGAGGCCCAGCGCGTGAATACCAACCTGTATTACATCCTAGTGCTGACATGCAAGGATAAGGCGCAGGGCATAGTGAGGGAGCGTTCCGTCTGGTGAAGGACTGGAAGTTTGGCGATTGTTATGTGTGGAGTTCGATCCGAAGGTTCCGTCGGGATTCTCTGGCATATTCGACTCACTTTTGTACCCGACAGTACAGGATAACGACGCGATCAAGGGTATCGTGTTTTGGGAAACGTCGGTGCAGCGCTACGAGGGGCAGGCAGGTGAGAAGGTGATGGGTTCGATCGAGAAATCGGTCTTGAGCACGAGGTTCGTGCCACAAAAGATCATCTCATGCTGAACGCTACGAGGTTCGCTACTTGCGCTTTGGTTCGTGCGGAAGGTGCTGAATTTCTTGAGAACGAAGCAGGCGGCGCTAGCTGTGAACGGCCCAGCCCGATGGATATGGACGCGCTTGCTTTCGGGAAAACGAGGCAAGAGCAGCAAAGGCGGCAATTTCGGCAAGGACGGTATAGGCAAGTGCAGAGGATGCGACCAGCACTCGACGGGTTTACCGTGCAATTACTGCAGGGGGAAAGGTCGCGGGCTGATGGGGTGCAGGAAGGCCACCCAGGACAGGAGGGGCGGAAAGATCACCGAGGAAGAGCTGCGGGATGAGCAAATGGAAGGGGGAGGACACAGGCAAGGAC